TGATCATTTATCTACTCCCGTACCTAAACTGACCTTAACCCTCTCCTTACACTAAACCAAACAGCACTAAAGTCAAACTTCGCCCATAATGTGTAGGCCTGTTGTTGAAAGATGACCCACACAAATTACATGGTCTAGTTTTTTTTTTTCCCCGGATACGTGTTACGATGTTGACGAACGTCGGTGTGTTGACGTTTCTAGGTTCTATTTTTAGCTCTCGTTTTTTGTTATTTCAAAATCACGAGACGCAGGAAACGTGGGACGATTTTCGGGTTTTTGTGGGTGAGGGGAATCCCCTTTCTTTTTGAGGAGAGAGTGGTATAAATAATGGCATGTCTAGCTATCTTACAAAACTTGTAACACTTTTATTTCAAGAAAAAAGGAAAAAAAATTAATTTAAGGTAAGACTTTTTAAGGACCATCGATTAAAGACACATAATTATACATATTGATATATCTTTACGGCAGAGGCCCCTACACTGTATAAAGTAGGCTACATTAACCTACTCTATAGTCTAGATAAAAGAAAATACGAACATTTAAAACTCCGACATTAACATACAATAATTATCTTATATTTTGAATAACTATTTTCTTCAAATTGTTATTATTATAAAGAAACACGCATTGTGTTTTACTATATTTTAAAATAAATTGCATAGTAAGTTAAAAGAATGCGATTTTTAAATGTAATTTAATAGACCTAGAAATGCCATATCTATAGTATGTATGGTGACTAAAGCAATTTTTATTATTGTAATGTGTTGACTTTATTTGCATTTTTATTGCTGTATTTTAAAAAAAATTGTATTTATATTTCTGTATGCTAACTAAAGTGTTGTTTGTATTGCTGCGTGCTAACTAAAGTGATTTTTTTGTATTGCTGTGTGCTAACTAAAGTGGTGTTTGTATTGCTGTGTGCTAACTAAAGTGGTGTTTGTATTGCTGTGTGCTAACTAAAGTGGTGTTTGTATTGCTGTGTTCTAACTAAAGTGGTGTTTGTATTGCTGTGTGCTAACTAAAGTGGTGTTTGTATTGCTGTGTGCTAACTAAAGTGGTGTTTGTATTGCTGTGTGCTAACTAAAGTGGTGTTTATTTCTCCTGTAGCCCACCATGTCCCTGTACAATGACATTGACCTGCTATTGATTGGGAAAACTGGGAACGGCAAGAGCGCCACAGGGAACACCATCCTAAACAGGAGGGCTTTCATCAGCAGATCTGACTCCATGTCAGTCACGCTACAAGTCAACGACGAGGTCAGCGAGGTCGAAGGTCGGGTGATCAAGGTCGTTGATGGACCAGGGGTTGGTGACACACGTATGAACACCGCTGAATCCACTAAACTGATGGCTGATGCTATGGGCAAGGCTATCGCAGCTAACCCCATTGGTTATCACGCTTTTCTGCTTGTGGTGAGATATGGAGGCAGGTTTACGGCTGAGGACAAAGACACGATCGAGTTCTTGAAGAAACTGTTTGGTGCCAACGTCATCAAAGACTTCTGTATTCTCGTCATGTCCCACGGCGATGTGTTTGAAGAAGACAGCGAGGAGAGTGGAGAAAAGTTTGAACAGTGGTGCCGGAGACAGCAGGGGGTTCTCAAAGAGCTGATGGTCGAATGCGATAACAGAGTTCTGCTGATGAACAACAGGACGAAAGATGTTGAGAAGAAGAAGAGACAAGTGAGAGAGTTGATGGCCATGGTGGACCATCTCAGGGCTAAAGGACAACGATACACTGACAAGAACTTTGAAAACGCTAAAGCGACACGAGACTACTTGCTGGTCGAGTCGAATAAACCCATCATCCAGGAAGAGACTTTAAGGGAGACGAGTCTCATCCTGCAGAAGCTTCAACACATCCAGAGTTCAGTTGAAATCGCAGAAAGACAGCCTTGTCTTGAACCTCTGCGAGATCGCGTCGAAAAACTACTGAGTAAAGTTTCAACAGTTGACCAAGGTACCGGCGCGCTGCATGATATTCTGTTGACCATCAAGTCTCTAGAGAACACGATAGCAGACGAGAGCAAGTTCTGCCAGAACGTCATCGAGGAGAGGGAGAGGATGAAGCGGGAGGAGGAGGAGAGGATGGCGAAGTTTCAGGCAGCGCTGGACGCGCAGACGGCGGAGTATGAGAGGTTGATGCAAGAGGGACGGCTGGAGCAGGAGAGACAGCAGGAGATGATGAAGGAACAGGAGAGACTGAGGAGAGAGATGGACGAGCAGAGAGAGAGAGACTTTGAAGAAAGAGAGAGGCAGAGGCAGCTTATGCTGGAGGAGAGCCGGAAATACATCGAAGATTCCAGAAAAATTGAGGACGGCTATAAAAATGCTAAACAGGATAACAGCAATGATTTTTTCAAAGAGTTGGCACAAGTTGTAGTTTTATCTGTTTTTAAATTCTTCGGTTTTTAAGCAAAAATTGTAATAGATTTTGTCATGCCTACTTCATATATATAAACATTAATGTTTTCTTTAATACAAATTTAATATTTAAAAAAATAATACATATCTGAAAATGAAAAAAAAAACGCGTATTGTATAGATAATATTATATTCTTTCTACACTAGCCACATTTATACATTTTAAAACTATGATTTTGTTTCATAATATGTACAAAAACTGAATGAATGTTTGTTTTTGCATGATAAACATTAAAATTGTATAATCCAAATTGTGTTTTACTTGAAATCTATCTACTTGTATTTGCGAATCGCACTCCAAAATACGTTTAAAAATTTTAAAGTATTGAACTTTGGAGTTATTACTTCTCTATGATTACACTAAGGAGAAAAAGCATATTCAGCCTAGTGGTCTGTTTGCAGGTGATGCTGAGTTCAAAGAACACTGCTCACCTTTATGTAGCTGCTGCATTTCCAGCATGTATAAATACTCTTCTATCAGTACTTATTGTTAGGCATCTCTTTGGGGGACGGGTAATCACAGTAACACATCCATCGCACCCTACCATGAGGAAAAAAATTGATAAGAAAATATTTTCTTTAGCATTGTTCGACCCACAACCCCAAAGGGGTTTCCAGAAATGTACCCTAACCCCCCCCCCCCCTTGAGTGAGTAGAACAGGTCACACATGTTGAGTGAGTAGAACAGTTCACACATGTTGAGTGAGTAAAACCGGTCACACATGTTAGGGGTCATCCATAAATGACGTCACGCTTTTTTTGACGATTTTTACCTCCCCCCCTCCCCTCCGTCACACGTCGTCACAAAAAGCCAGACCCCCCCCCTAAAATGACGTCACACCTCAACCTACAACCCCCCTCAAAATTGCAGTTGAATTTTTTAAAAACATCGATATTTTTCCAAAATCTTGTCTAAACTATTACAATTTATTAAAACAGTTATCTAAAACGCGAAATAACGTCTAAAATTCGTTTTCTAACATTGCTTTTTTATAATGCAAAAATGTGACGTCGCAACATCTGACCCCCCCCCCCCCCCCTCCCCCTCATCACACATCGTCACAAAATTACGGACCCCCCCTCCCCCCTATGACGTCATTTATGGATGACCCCTTATGTGTGCTGAACAGGTTTAGCTTTGGTTATTATCGTGAAAATCAATGTGGCAACGCAAATAGTTTACAGAAAAAAAACAGTAACTGAAAAAAATGTATTTTAGTTATCTCTTCTGGTGGTGGGTTGGGAGCTAACAAAACAAGTAAATAAATATATATTTATAAAGAAAGAAATAAACTTTGACCACTGTCTGCCCCACCCACAAGAACTCCATTTATTGGCATGGCTCATTTGTGTTTTAAAATATTTGTTTTTTTAGGACCTCACTACTAAACAAAGATAAACATTTAGCTGTACACACATATGCATACAAACATAAGCAAGCCTCGTAAAAATAGAGGAATTGATGCCAGTATAGTTTTACAGATGATTTCATCGTATCGCTTATAAATTGATAATATACTTGAAGCCGCATAAATACACACACAGACGTTAACTTCAACAATAACACACATACACACATGTTAACGACTATGAAGTAACACAAGAATGCACAAACAAAACAGAACTAACACACACACGCGAAGGAACTATGCACACACGCGCACACGCACACACAACATAAACACACGAACACACAGACACTTCAAAATGGAATGTACATTATCTCTACTTCTTGCTGTAATTTGGTCACATAAATAGACATGCAAGTCATTGCTAACATATAATCTTCTCCATTGTAACTAGTTAGTTTAAAAGTGAGTCTATTAAAAAAGGACACACATACATTATTACATAGTTATTATTACATACAAAGTCTTGTACAACTTCAAAACCACAAGCCAAACACACACACACAATAGCATTGTGTAATATAGCAATGAGTAAGACAAGCGTGTACACACACACACACACACACACACTGACATAAACACGTATAAACGCTAATTGACAAAAACACGCATACTGTGAATGGTCTGCAATCACACTAACACATACAAACACAGGAAGAAAATATGATGTCCCATAAACACAAAATAAATAACCAACAATTACCTACGCACATATAAACATACTACAGACAAAAGCAGCTAATTTAATAAAGGGACAAACTCATAGAGGCCACGCAAATGCAAGCGAACACTGTTTTACAACGTGGGTTATCTCAAAAACAAACAAACACAAATCACATAGGATGAACACATTTTTGCTGACTCATTTTATTTTTATATCTTAATACTTAAACCGTTCTAGAAAGTTTAAATATCACTTATAATATATTTAGGCGGGTCATCCATTTCAACTGTAAATTACTCAGCATTTTAACCTAGCACTCAACTTAGCACGTGTTTATTTTCTACAGCAAATTGTATCCTCCAACTTCCCCAACACGTCACACAGGATCAGGTCAAATGTTTGTCATGTTTGTTTTCCCAAAAAATCAGCTCTAGGATTTACTCTTAGAAAACCACGTAAGTGAGTTTCGGGAAAATCCGTTAGGCGGCTAATATAAGAGATGATTCAAGTAACCCACAGTACAATATTATTTGTTTCTGTCATCGGAAGTAAGGTAAGAACGTATAGATCTACTTACAGTATTACTATTAGTAGCATTTTAAAAAGATATCTCTCTACTGCTTTTAATAGAAGTAATTGATGAATGATTATGAGTGTGTATGAAGGATAAATGTTGATTATCTGGTTTAACAAGCACTTTCGCTGGAAACTCGTAGGTATTTGCCCTTAACATAATTTTATTTTTAGGCTGCAGACTATGTTTGTTGTAACTAGGTAATTACCTAGGTAATTAAAAATGGCGTCAACAATTGTTCATGTATAGCTAACTGGAAATATTATTGATTAACAATGAGAAGGTGTAAATAACAGATGTATTTTGTATTGTATTATGTATATGATGATATATTTGTTTTTAAAATATGACTCCACATTATTTGACTTTTGATGTCCAAAGTAAATTTCAAATATTGGTCCATGAGATTATATAATCTAATATGTCTATGTGAAAGTAAAGTTGAGGAACATTTATAACCATGGAGCAGGTGAAGTAGAGTTTATCTGTTTGTAAGATCTCTGAATATGAAGGAATAGTATGGTCAACACTATACCCTAACGTGATTCAGGTACCCATTAGAGCTGGGTAGACTCAATGACGTCTTACAGACTGCAGCCTTGGATTCAGAAATCACACCAGTCCAACATTCTACATTCCGACCACGCTGCCCCTACATTGGTTTTCTGTACATAACGTTTTATAGTAATTGAGAGTTATTTACCACGCCGAAAATACATTTATAGATTGAGTTATTATCATTAACAATGGTTAAGTTTCACTCTAACACTAGACGGTTTATAGATTACATCTAGTTAAAATCAGTGACAAACCTGTGTTATGGGTTGAGAATTTTACGGTCACCAACATATCAGTAGAAGAAACATAGAACTTACATCCACAACACATAAAGAATACGCCCATTACGGGTGAACCGATGCCAAAAAAAAACTAAATTTCTAGACTTGCATTTTTCATCAATAGCTTTAAAAATCAAATATCTTAGAATAGAGACGATGTGCATGGTTTTACAACCTGGTGAGATTACCTTAGCATTCGTTTTATTTCCCAAGCTTGACACTGTTCTAGACAAGCATGGAGAACAGGCAACAGATAACTATCGAGGTAAGTGATCATTTCATTTCACATTTACATTCATGTTCATGCTTACGTTACATCGGAGGTATGAAGTATAAGGTCTGCATTATTTCTGACCTCATAAAGTCATATATTGTTTGTAATCAACCTTGTCAAAAATAGTCGCTAAAATAGTGTGGTGCTTTCAACAGCGGATGCAGATTTTTGCAGATTATATATCTTTAACTATTTGCGGCCTTATGTCAGTATCAAAACAGAAATATTAAGGTTTATTAATCATACAATGCTTTTAAGTGATGCATATTAGCAATCATTACAAGAGTAGTTCCGCCCCTGCCGAACACTTGAGACTGACTCCCAAAATCCATGGGGCTCGACCGAACTCAGGTTGAGAACCACTGTCTTAGACGACACTTCCTACAATGTTAGTACCGAAGAAAATTAACAGATTGTATAAATGGTTGAGGCAAATCAAGACAGTTCATTTAAACATATTCATATGTAATACGATTGCTTTATATTTGTTTAGTCGCGGAGTATTAAATACGTTGAATTTATTTAATGCTACAAAATGACGTTTATTTAGTGTTACTTTTTTGTTTTATTAATAAAGTTATATTGTTTTTGGACAGGTGGAAAAGAACGTTGATCTACTTCTACTGGGTAAAACCGGAAACGGAAAAAGTGCCTTAGGGAACTCTATTTTAGGATTTAAGGCATTTTACTCGTCCTCTAGCGCCACTTCAGTGACCGACAAGGTTAAATTTGACTTCAGGGACTACAAGAACCGTGTCATCAAGGTAGTTGATGCCCCAGGGGTGGGAGATACCAGGGGAACCAGTGATGAAGCCTTGAAGATGGTGACGGACAAGCTGTCAGACGCCGTGAGCATCCACCCAGAAGGGTATCACGCCTTCCTCCTGGTTGTAAGGTATGGAGGGAGATTTACTGAAGAAGACGTCAACGCAATCACAATGCTGAAACGAGTTTTCGGCGAACATTTTGTTAAAAAGTTTTGTATCTTGATGTTGACATGTGGTGACATCTTTGAACGGGACGCAGAAGAACATGGTCTTTCCTTCCACGATTGGTGCGGGCAACAAGTGGGCGTGTTCTCCAAGCTCGTGGAGGAGTGCAATGGGCGTGTCCTCCTGTTTGATAATTATACCAAAGACAAAACCAAAAAAGAGAAGCAACTGAATGAACTTCTGTCTCTTGTAGACCAACTTCAGACTAAAGGACGGCGGTACACCAACGAATATTTTGAAAAAGCAAGCAAATCCCGTGAAAAGTACTTGATTGAGTCGAAAATTCCAGTCTTGCAAGAAACTACAATGAGAGATACAAGATTGCTGATTCAGAGACTGCAAGAGATCTGCACGCTCGAACCCGAGGAACAGATTTCACAACTTCAGGATCTTCTACAGACAGGAGAATCGCTGGCTAACAATATCATTGAACAGGACAAAGGAACTGGCGCTTTGGTGAATATCATAGAGACAGTGAAATCACTGACCAACAGCATCAGCGATGAGATCAAAATATGCGAGCGTTTGATCAGGGAGAGAGAGAAGATAAAGCAAGAAAAAGAAGAGATGATGAAATCCCGAGAAATGGACGAGGCAAAGATGAGGGCATTGGAGGAACGCGAGAAACGAGCACACGAGGCCCACTTGAAGGAACTGGAGCTGACGAGGAAGCAGATTGACGCGGCGGAGGCGAGGTATAGAGCTGAGAGGGACAGGCCGCGACCGTCTGGAGGTGGCTGTAATATTTTGTAGAGAATTGTAACCTCCAAATGTTTTATTAGTGTGGTTGTTGAATGTTTCAACTGTAATGCCAAACTATTTTCTTCAAAGAATTGTATCGTTATTTTTATAAAACTTGACATCAAAATACTTCACTTGTGATACTTTAAATTAACGAAATACTAGCAACTATGCCTAGCTTCGCTTAAGATTTTGAAATAATAAAAAAAAATCTTACCATAATGCATAACCCACGTTACTACTACAAACACATGCTAAACTACACCATGTTTTAATTTTACACCAACCTTTGAAATATCAAACTAATTATTTAATCAATAAATAGTAATAGAGCCCCTGCTTTTTCAGTTAATTTTTATAATCTAGAGTTTGAATACATGTTATAGGAGAGGGTGGTCAGGGTGGGGGTTGAGACGGTAGCTTTCAAATACTCTCCCTCAAGTTTGATCCTAGACTGAATTCTGTAGGAGGTCACTGAGCGAGTCAACCCAACCCCGATATGTTCCTCCCTCATGCAAGAGTAATCTAAAGGCGGCTGAGCATATAGCGTATCTCCCGTTAACTTGAAAAGTTATTTAAGGCTATTTCCCTCGTGTTCAGTCACCGGATACGGTTCCTTGTCGTATTGGAAGCGTCTGTGTTGTCGGCATGTGCCACAAAACTTAAACCGTATATGGATCTATGTAGTTTGCGTAGAGAAATAAAAATGGAAAATATTTTACAGGGTTATATTTATGTGATTGAGTAATGTTTTTATAAAAGCTAGTGCATTCAGTTGTTTGTTGTTGCATTTTAAATAGTTAAATAATTGGTTGCAATAAACACAAAAATAGTAATTGTAACTGTACACTTTTATATTCAGTAACAATTTGTTTTTTAATTGATATTGTTAGTATTTCTCATGTCCGCTGCATTCAAGCGCATGTGTTGTATTAAATCAACAAATATACAGTTTTTGTTTAGTATTACCGTAGATTATTTGTGATATATTTGTCACCATTTAAATTATATGAATTGAGCTAATGTGGTTATAGTTTTAGTAAATAAATGTGAATACATTTATTGAGTGCTTTTTTTTATTCCATTTGTAGTTTCCTATTGTCATTGTTGTCGTACAAAATGTGAACCAACAAAGTAATCGTCGGCCCGAAACGGAAATCTTCACTGTTAAAACTAAAATATTTTACACGAGCCGGCCCGCGGCATAACATACGCCGCTATTTAGTTGTTTCTAATTTGCAATAATTCATAATTTGTGAATTCGACAGTACCAACGCTGACACTGAAAATATTTCTTTAAAACACTATAAGTAGCTCGTTAAGGACCATAACCCCCCCCTTCCTTCCCCCCCCCTCCCCCCCCCCCCCCTACGTTTAAAATCGTTGGCTCTGCTTGTAAACATTTAGAGTGAACACAGCTCACTAAAACCATGTAGGGGTGGGGAGGTAGGGAGAGCGTTTGCAGCTTGTTTTCTAACGGCTCGAAGAGGAGAATTATATATATACGAGCCGGCCCGCGGCGTAACATACGCCGCTATTTAGTTGTTTCTAATTTTCAATAATTCATAATTAGTGAATTCGACAGTACCAACGCTGACACTGAAAATATTTCTTTAAAACACTATAAGTAGCTCGTTAAGGACCATAACCCCCCCCCTTCCTTCCCCCCCCTCCCCCCTTCCTTCCCCCCCCCTCCCCCCCCTTCCTTCCCCCCCTCCCCCCCCCCCCTTCCCCCCCCCCCCTCCCCCCCCCCTACGTTTAAAATCGTTGGCTCTGCTTGTAAACATTTAGAGTGAACACAGCTCACTAAAACCATGTAGGGGTGGGGAGGTAGGGAGAGCGTTTGCAGCTTGTTTTCTAACGGCTCGAAGAGGAGAATTATATATATAGATAGATAATTCCAGCATTAGAAAACATTTTAATGATATTTATCATAAGACTCCCATGGTCACGTTAGGGAAAGTAAAAGCGGCTGGGAATAGTGCTGACCACACTATCTTTTCATATGCCGAGGTCACAGAAACAAGTGAACTCTACTTCACTGTCCCTATAGACCGTCACGTTTGGAAAGGGAACTACTTTAGTTTTACTTTACCTATGGTCATGTCAGCCTTGTCAAGATATGTTCACAGAAAACTGTGCAACGGAAAACTGCGAAAACAGAAATATAGGCAAATACAAACAAGTTATACAAATACACTTAAATTATGTCATATGTCGTGCTAAATTTTTTTATTATGCTACAGTATGCGTGATTCCTCTTTTTGTTAACGTTCATAAATGCTTGATTTAAGAAAACAAAAATGTCCCTGCGCACTTTTTGAGCACAGTTTTTTGTTGCGCATCTTTCCGGTCACCCTCAAGATACTCTGTATTAGTTTTAAGATCTTCAAATAAATATAGCTTAAATACTTTTTAAAGTTATGCTTTAATAATAAAGTATAATTTGTTTAATATTGAACAAACTTTTCATTAAAAAATGTAAAATAAAAAAGGTAGAGAAATTTAAAAAATCCATGTTTAAAACATTACTATCTATTGGTGAAGGCTGCAATTAGACTAAGACAACATAATTATTTGATTGAAATAAATTCTAAAATTAAAATGAGGTTGTTTTTTTTAATTATACCCGAAAAAATCACTGAATTCATTTTTCTTGTTTTAATGAAGTCATTTGGTTTTTTTATTCTAGAAAATGGCTGAAAATCTAAACCTCCTATTGATTGGAAAAACCGGAAATGGAAAAAGTGCAACTGCCAATTTGATTCTGGGAAACAACGTTTTCAAATCCGAGTCGAGCACGAGTTCCGTGACGCTGAGCGTCCAGTCTGGCACCACGACACGTCACAACCGGACTGTCCAGATCGTGGAGGCCCCGGGGGTGGGGGACACCAGGCACACGAGGGAGGAGAGTGACCGGAACACGGTGGCCAACTTGTGTAGCGCCATGGCCCTGAGCCCTGAAGGCTACGACGCGGTGCTGCTGGTGCTGCGATACGGTGGGAGGTTTACGGAGGAGGACGTCAACGTAGTGACGTCATTGAAGAAAATTCTCGGCGCTGACTTTGTCCAAAAGTTTTGTGTCCTGGTACTGACCTGTGGGGACGTGTTTGCTCGGGATAGCGAAGATACTGGTCAAACATTTTCTGACTGGTGTAAGGAACAAAATGGTTCTTTTGGTGTTTTAGTTCAGGAGTGTGCGAGCAGGATACTTCTGTTTGACAACTACACGAGGGACGAGTCCAAGATAGACGAGCAGATAGCAGATCTCCACGGTAGACGACTTAAAGCGACAAGAGCTCAAATATTCCAGACACAACTTTGAGCTGGCTAAGACGTCACGTGATGCATTTCTGGTCGAGTCCAGGGCACCAGCTGTCGTTTCTGGTCAAGTCCAGGGCACCAGCTGTCACTGAAGACGTCACCTGATGCGTTTCTGGTAGAGTCCAGGGTACCAGCTGTCACTGAAAACGTCACGAGACAAATCAGTTCCATCAAAGCCAGACTTCTGACGTTAAGTAACCTGGATGTTGACCACAAGCTTGTACAGTTGATGGAGCTGGTTCCTACGGTAGAACAAATCCTAAATCTGGTGAGTTCTGAAGATAAAGACACCGGAGTCTTCAACAGTCTGAAAGAAACAGCCGACTCTGTTCTACGGAGAATCCGAAACGAAATAACTTCATGTGAACAGATGAGAGCTGAGAGAGAGAGACAGAGACAGTTGCTGGAGGCACAGATGAGAGAGATGGAGGAGCGCAGGAGACAGGAGGAAGCTAGGAGAGCTCAGGAGCTTCAGGCAGCTCAACAAGCTCTGGCTGAAGTTCAGCAGAGAGAAGTGTTGGCCAGACAACAGGCTGTGTATCACCAACATCATCAAAGTAGCAACGAATGCGTTGTTTTGTAAAGCTAAGCAGAGAGAAACGTTGGCCAGACGTAGCAACGATTGTGTTGTTTTGTAGAATATCTGGCTAAACGCCAATTGTCTTTCAGTAACAGTTTACTTATGTACACGTTTTTGTTACAATCAAACTAGTCCTGTAGTTTTTTCATGTGAAAGTAGACTATGCTTGTTATTTAATACAATAGTTCTGAATGCATTTCTTATTTTAACACGTTTTTATTAACTCAGCTTCGCGTTTGTTTGTTTGTTTGTTTGTTGTTAAAATTGACATCGAAAATTAGCCCACTTCTGATGGCTCAATAGATCTGAAATTTGGCATGTAGGTTACTTTCGCCTAACAATTTCAGATGCAATCATAAAAACTAGCAATTAGAGACCGTAATTAGCTTAATTTAATTACGCCCCAAGGACCATAAAATTGAGGACATGATTTCTAAAGATACCGACAAGACTGAAGGCCTATTGACACAGTTACTTCGGCCCCAATCGATGTGAGCGCGCTGGCCGTGATCGTATAGTGGTTAGTACTTCGCGTTGTGGCCGCGACAACCCAGGTTCGAATCCTGGTCGCTCAAGATTTTTAGTCCGTGTATTTATAAACACTTAGTCAAGTCATACTTAATCAAGTCATTGGATAAAGTAGAAAATAAACTATATAAAAAACTTTTTTTAAAAACCACGTTTTTCATGTGTAGCAACGGACTAAAAAGGAGAAAATAAAATACTTAAAAAAAACTTTTTAAAAAACCACGTTTTTCTTGTGGACTAAAAAGTAGAAAATAACTATTTACATACATTTGATGACAAAAAACGTGGGTCGGGCAGATGGGTCGGGAAATTTGATGGTGAACGTACCCACGTTTTTTGTCATCAAATGTATGTAAATAGTTATTTTCTACTTTTTAGTCCACAAGAAAAACGTGGTTTTTTAAAAAGTTTTTTTTAAGTATTTTATTCTATTAGTATGATGTTCCGCAAAAGAGATAAAAATTATAAAATCAAAATAGGATATAATCATATTAAAATAAAAATAATATCAAGTCGCAATTAAAGTTTAAACATTGTTTTTAATGATCAGAATCAAAATTAAATTTAAATTAAATCACGATTAATTAAAATTAAATTTATACAATCGTTATCAAAATGTTATTTTAATTTAATTTTTAAAAATTAAAATTAACATTTTAAACTGTTAATGTATTAGAGGTCTCATTACAACTGCGAAACACATATATATATATATATATATATATATATTAGGCAATATCTCTGTGTATGTTTGTCTGTTTGTCTTTTATACATTACTAAACTTTTTATCTGATCGCCATGAAGCTTTTGGGAAGTTGTTGAGAATAATCCTGGGGGAGGTATCTGCGAACTTTTTTCAATTCATAGGGGTGGCGCACGATTCAATATTTTTTTCGATATATGGTAGGCCTATATAAAAAAAATCGATAGCGGTTTGACACCGTTCACCCGATCGCCATGAAATTGTAGATGGTTGATTAGAACATTCCAATGGACAAAAAAAGAAAATCAGAAGGTTTACATAAGTATTGTGTTATTGAATTAAGTAGTTTATCGTAATTAAATGTTAAAATTAATTCTAATAAATCTAATATAACAGTAATTTTAAATAATTGAGACTTTGTGATAGTTAACTCAGGTTGTTAAAATTATTGTACCTTTAGTTATTATAATAAGTTTATAACTGATTATTATTGATTATTATAATTGTTGGTAAAAGTCTAAATTAGCGAAACTATTTATGAAAAAAATGACTTGTACTTACACTTTAATTAATCATGTTTTATTCTGTTTTTAAATTATAATAAGATTAAAACAAGATTTTCATTTTAAAAATTCAAATAAAAGCTTTTCTGTCAACTGTGACATTGGTTGACTTTAATTGTTGACATTTTAACACCGTTTGTAAGTGTGAGGCAGTAGTTGAGTGCTCGTCTTACTCTCTACTTTCACTTCAGAGTACAACTGTTTATTCAACTTTTCATTATTCAAAATAAAATTACACAAATTAAGTGATTTTTATAGCCATCCTCATAAAAGAAGTCACAAATTTGTGTGCATCAATGTTTGCTTAACAAATGAATGTTTACTTAAATGTCATATAGCAAAGATTAAACATTCATTTCAATTACAGTATGCGGGGTATACAAACTCATAAGTTACTTCATAAATGTGTATTACAGCTTTTAACTAACTATTCCGGAGATACGTAAAATCTAAGCAAGCTTTAACTTGCACTTTACTTATACGTTTGTGGCCCCAGAGGAACAAAGGGCTATTGCCACACCTCTCCTGGGGAGCAAAGGAAGGGCTACTGCCACACCTCTCCTGGGGAGCAAAGGGCTACTGCCACACCTCTCCTGGGGAGCAAAGGACTACTGCCACACCTCTCCTGGGGAACAAAGAGCTACTGCCACACCTCTCCTGGGGAGCAAAGGGCTACTGCCACACCTCTCCTGGGGAGCAAAGGGCTACTGCCACACCTCTCCTGGGGAGCAAAGGGCTACTGCCACACCTCTCCTGGGGAGCAAAGGGCTACTGCCACACCTCTCCTGGGGAGCAAAGGACTACTGCCACACCTCTCCTGGGGAACAAAGGGCTACTGCCACACCTCTCCTGGGGAGCAAAGGGCTACTGCCACACCTCTCCTGGGGAGCAAAGGGCTACTGCCACACCTCTCCTGGGGAGCAAAGGGCTACTGCCACACCTCTCCTGGGGAGCAAAGGGCTACTGCCACACCTCTCCTGGGGAGCAAAGGGCTACTGCCACACCTCTCCTGGGGAGCAAAGGGCTACTGCCACACCTCTCCTGGGGAGCAAAGGGCTACTGCCACACCTCTCCTGGGGAGCAAAGGGCTACTGCCACGCCTCTCCTGGGGAGCAAAGGGCTACTGCCACACCTCTCCTGGGGAGCAAAGGGCTACTGCCGCACCTCTCCTGGGGAGCAAAGGGCTACTGCCACACCTTTCCTGGGGAGCAAAGGGCTACTGCCACACCTCTCCTGGGGAGCAAAGGGCTACTGCCACACCTCTCCTGGGGAGCAAAGGGCTACTGCCACACCTCTCCTGGGGAGCAAAGGGCTACTGCCGCACCTCTCCTGGGGAGCAAAGGGCTACTGCCACACCTTTCCTGGGGAGCAAAGGGCTACTGCCACACCTCTCCTGGGGAGCAAAGGGCTACTGCCACACCTCTCCTGGGGAGCAAAGGGCTACTGCCACACCTCTCCTGGGGAGCAAATGGCTACTGCCACACCTCTCCTGGGGAGCAAAGGGCTCCTGCCACACCTCTCCTGGGGAGCAAAGGGCTATAACCACACCTCTCCTGGGGAGCAAAGGGCTATAACCACACCTCTCCTGGGGAGCAAAGGGGTATAACCACACCTCTCCTGGGGAGCAAAGTGCTTCAGCCAAACCTGTATATAAGACTTGGTTTTGGAAATTTCTCTTTATTTTTCACCCATGTTAGTCCGGCAGCCCGTCATACATTTTCTACGGTCTTACTCCGTGATTTCCTTGGCCTTTCCCCACCCCCTGGGGATTCCAGTCTAAAGTTTCCTCGCAATGTTGTCATCTCCGATATAATTTGCGAGTCTCTCAAAAGTATTTTTTTTTTAGCATTTGGTTGCCAAATTATTTTTTTTTTCAAGCCGTCGTGGGGGCCGAGTTTTTCGTTCCAGTTAAAATAAATTTGTCGGCAATCTCCTTTTTAAATAAATGCAAATATTTAACACTGACACATAATATCTGGATGTATAAGGGATCTCATATCATAAATAACTTAGGGCCTTATCAAATCTAAATCCAGACCTGATGTCTGAGTGCCCTTTTTTAAACAACATTCAGAAATTTTCAAAAATTGCAATAGATGATAAGAAATGATCACAACATAATAAAACATGTGAAAATCATACTACATGTCATAAAAGAATTACAACAATTAGTACAGGAAGTGAACCTAAAGTTCCCGTAGTTTTGGATTGCCCTTTGATTTGTTATCATTATCGTCATCGCTGTCAGATTTCTTAGCCTCTAGGTATTTCTTGACCTGTGCATGTAGCTTGCCGTGCATGTAGCTCTTAATCCCATCCACGATGACAGGGAGGATGTGCTCCTCAAACGTTTTGCCAACAGCAGCACCGACACATTTGACCATCTCCCACGTCTGGTTGTCCCTGACCTTGGTGTACTCCTGCTGCAGTTTCTGTGACTCTGACTTCAGGCCGGTCACCATAGATTCCATCCTGGTCTTATACTCCTGATGTTCTATTTCCATCCGTTGGATTTTATCTTCCAGTTCCAGGCGATGTTCCTCGTCAAGTTCCTTTTGTCGCTGTTCCCTTTCAATGTTCATCCTCTCCATCTCCGCCGCTTGCTGTTTCCGTTTCTCGTTGAGTTCTACGGCGGTCTTGGTGTTGGTGATTTGGTCCTCCACACAGCTCACAATGTGTCTGGCATTTTTAATCAATGCGCTTAGAGCACCGGTTCCTTTGTCGTTTTCTTGGATAGATTTGAGCAAGACATCAGCGCGTTTCTTCAGCTCATGCAGGTCTGCCAGCTGTTTCTCTGGTTCATCAAGCTGGATCTTTGCCAGCTGTTGGATGATGAGGCTCGTCTCTCTCATACTGTCTTCACGGATCATGGGTAGCTTAGACTCTAAAAGATGGCGGTTTCGGGTGACTTGAGCCAATTTAAAATGATCGTCAGAATATCTTATACCAAGGGCACTTAACCCATCAACCATTTGGATAAGGATACTCTGCTGGTAATTCAACTTGTTTTCATCTTTTGTCTTGTTATCAAACAGGACAACCCTGTGTCCACATTCCTTGACCAGTTCTCTGAACACCCCAGTCTGCAGGCGCCACCACTCGTCAAAAGAATTTGTTTCCGTTTCCTCCGGATCAAAGTTGTCCCCACACGTCACCACCAGGATACAAAACTTGGACACAAAGTCGTCACCAAAGCAAGCCTTCAGTACACGGATGGTCTGCCTGTCCTCCTCTGTGAACCTGCCCCCAAACCGGACAACCAGTAGAAAAGCGTGGTAGCCCTCTGGGTTGGCCGCGATAGCAAATTTCATGGTGTCCAGAACAAGCTGTACGCCGTTTTCTTGGTTGAGGTCAGTGTCCCCAACACCTGGTCCGTCTACCACCTTGATGACACGACCGTTAAAGTTGGAGTAATCCATCTGAATGTGTTTTGTTACAGAGTTTGGACTAGGTACCGACTTGAACACCCTCCGTCGAAGAATTGCGTTTCCGGTGGCGCTTTTGCCATTTCCGGTTTTCCCAATGAGAAGCAGATCAATATTACTGCATTGATTTTTAGCGTAAGCCATGGGCGTTTCCTGTTAAGATAAAATTGAATGATGAAAAAATGTGTAGCCCTACATTGCTAACTTACACTAAAGTACTAGCACGGATTCAGACATCATAATCAATAATGCGAATAAATTGGCCTGCATCTGGATCTTAGTACACGGGGTATATATGCCTTTCTAGGTTAGTATTATATCCAGCAGGTTTGCTCAAGTAAAAAAATTAAAGTGAGTAGATAAAGTGTAAGCTAATGCCATGCATGAACTCTAGTTATGCTGGTACAGTTTTGCAATCAAATGTGTACGTTTCATGTCTATCCAAGTGAACAAAAAATCCATACCTATGTTGTATTATTAAAATTTTTCTACATGTTCACTCTGTAATCGTAAATATCAAAACGGTACTTGAATTTAACTGAGATGTTGCGATAAAACACGCATTGTATGCATGGACTCATTTATCAATCAGGGATATAATCTACATGTTGTTGCGATACTTATACATAAATATCGATCACCAAACTTTGCCTGTATATATTCGGTCATCAACAAAGTGTTTTGATACATAACAAAAGTTGCCACAACATGTTTCCTCGAACACTAGTCATCAGTTCACAACAATAATATCCAATACACTTTCACATCCTTATGAGAAGAAAATGAAAATCGACGATAATCACACTTTACCTGTTTACAAGGCAGCTATGTTATACAATTCATACGTGTGGAATGTATTATCTGCTATTAGCCTATGTTTTTGTGTAGTTTAATAAACCATTGCCATGAAAATGAATTTTAGAAAATGGCGGAAATCAGCGAAGCATATCGACCTCAGCCTTATTCAGCTGACACAAAATCACTACGTCAAGGTAACGATTTTTTTCTAACACAACACACTTGTTTTCCCGAGAAACTTTTAGATACGGATTTTTCCGAAATTATTTTGCTGAAGTGTATTGGTTTGTTTTAATAGTCTAAGTAAGACAGCATCATCACGACTCACATGTGAGTATTTACGTGTTTTTATTAAAATACACACATTCGCACTGTAGGGCAGCTAAGGTCTGTAATCGATACAACGTGATCACAGAACATGAGATATCGTTAATTGATGCAAGCACTAGTTAATTGTGCTAAACAACGTTGGTTTCTGTTCAACCCACACAAACACAACATGTAACAAGAATACCTACATATTTGCAGATAAAGATAGAGTGGGTATTTATGCCCATAGCAACTTAAAGATTTCTATTGTAAGACTCCTAAAATCAAAATCTAATTTGTCTCAAACACAAAAAAACAACAAAAAAACAATCTAGCCATAGCCAGTAATTAATACAAAAACCATTTAAGTTTACATTTTTCGCCATTTCCATTGATCTTTATCTCCTGATGTAAGTAGTCTTAGTCGTTAAAAAATAAAGTTGAAAGTTAGATTAAAAAGATAACTTATACTATAGCTTTTTAAAGAAGTGTATATTAGTCCTATAAATCAATTCAGGTGTTATAGTCACGAGCCGACCCGCGGCATAACATACGCCGCTATTTAGTTGTTTTATTTTCTACTTTTCAGTAATTCATAATTTGTGAATTTGAATACCAACACTGCCACTGAAAATATTTCTTTAAAACAGTATAAGTAGCTCTTTAAGGACCATAACCCCCTCCCCCTTCCTTACACCCCCCCCTCTCCCCCCCCCCCCCTCCCTTACGTTTAAAATCGTTGGCTCTGCTTGTAAACATTTAGAGTGAACACAGCTCACTAAGATCATGTAGGGGTGGGGAGGTAGGGATCGCGTTTACAGCTTGTTTTCTAGCGGCTCCCAGAAGAGAATTATTTATATAGATAATGTATAAACTTTTACGCAACTTTTCATTACTTTTTTATTATGATGCTACTATGCATTCAATAATAACCTACACTAAACGTTTTTCTTTTAACCTTTTGAACCCTGAACTCCTGAACCTAAAATTCCCCTCGGGTTTTTAACAATGAAGACTACGAATATAACTACATTAATGGCATGATTTTAATTTACGTCGAATATGGGTATAGGGCTAAAGGCTATATGATAAGTAAAAAATCACAAAATTTCTTGTTTTTCTCGTGATGGGTTTCTTGCACTTTTGGATACTATGTCCATTTTTGTATTAAAAAAATAATTACTTTAATGAAAAAAAAAATCCAAAAGGCAGACACCGAAAAGGCCGAAATACCATAAGGCCGAAAAATCCTAATATCGCAAATTATTGGTTACTACAAAGGTCATCTAAAGACAAGCATAAAACGTTAGCAATAAATTACCATACTTTTAATGAATTTAAAAGATAAATTCCTAAGCACCAAAACGTTTGGGTATCGGTTAGCTTTTATATGTTAGCCAGGATAGAGAATGATTCTAAAAGAACTTTTCCTCACACACGTTCGCCTTATCCTCCTGGTAGACATCAATTACCATATAATATACAGGCTCTATACGTTCTTCACAGGTCGACATCTATATGACCATATCTAATAATAATATACAGGCTCTATACGTTCTTCACAAGTCGACATCTATATGACCATATCTAATGATAATATACAGGCTCTATACGTTCTTCACAGGTCGACATCTATATGACCATATCTAATGATAATATACAGGCTCTATACGTTCTTCACAAGTCGACATCTATATGACCATATCTAATGATAATATACAGGCTCTATACGTTCTTCACAGGTCGACATCAATGACCATATCTAATGATAATATACAGGCTCTATACGTTCTTCACAGGTCGACATCAATGACCATATCTAATGATAATATACAGGCTCTATACGTTCTTCACAGGTCAACATCTATATGTCCATATCTAATGATAATATACAGGCTCCATACGTTCTTCACAGGTCGACATCAATGACCATATATAATAATAATATACAGGCTCTATACGTTCTTCACAGGTCGACATCAATGACCATATCTAATGATAATATACAGGCTCTATACGTTCTTCACAGGTCGACAACTATATGACTATATCTAATAATAATATACAGGCTCTATACGTTCTTCACAGGTCGACATCTATATGACTATATCTAATGATAATATACAGGCTCTATACGATCTTCACAGGTCGACATCTATATGACTATATCTAATGATAATATACAGGCTCTATACGTTCTTCACAGGTCGACATCTATATGGCCATATATAATAATAATAAACAGGCTCTATACGTTCTTCACAGGTCGACATCAATATGACTATATCTAATGATAATATACAGGCTCTATACGTTCTTCACAGGTCGACATCTATATGACCATATCTAATAATAATATACAGGCTCTATACGATCTTCACAGGTCGACATCTATATGACTATATCTAATGATAATATACAGGCTCTATACGTTCTTCACAGGTCGACATCTATATGGCCATATATAATAATATACAGGCTCTATACGTTCTTCACAGGTCGACATCTATATGGCCATATATAATAATATACAGGCTCTATACGTTCTTCATGCGTACGTCTAATGGATATCTTTTACAAAGATATTTCACTTGTCTTATTGGAGCATTCACTAACATTTCGTTCAAGAAAATTAAATCACCATAAAAGTAATCTATTTTTTTTTTATTTTATGTATTGCTCCTCGCTGACAATAGTTGGGGAAAATAAGAAATTAGAATACCGCTTTTGAAAGCAAATTTTACTTAGGAGATGAAAAGTACATTAACGCGCAACTGTTCGCGTTACCATTTACAGCATTGGTGGATATGTAATGCATTTAAAAAGTTCTGAAATCTTAAGCTTGTTTCTAAAAATAAATATGCCTACACACGATTATATACACGCTTACCACCGAATAACAGGCTGACACACAGCTTGCGCGTAGTGAAGCGCGTAACGCTATCTCTGAACACAGCCTAGGAACAAAACACCAGACTTAAAGCAAACAATCTTCAAATAGAATAACATTAAAAACTTTTATCAACTGTCTACAAAGGAAATAAACGAGATACACGCTCTAGATAGCCTAAAACGTGACACACAAGAACACACAAACATTTAATACAGTGGAATATCTTGAAATTAATTTCTTACACAAAACTTCATGTAGACTAAATTTGTAGCAGAAAAAAACATTCTATTTACCGTCCAATGTCTATAGGCGTAAGCTCGAAGCCAATCCACTCACAGCACTGTGAGTGTAGCCTACATTGACAACTTAATATGTTAACAAATACTACAAATAAGAATATCATCATTAACGCAAGCAAGCCTTAGTGGTCGGCGTGGTCGAGGCATGGTTGCTAAACAGATAAGTTTCGAGTTCGAACCCTCGTGGAGATGTGGCTCGTTAGCTGGGGACAGCAACTAATCTAGGAGAGACAACTCCAAAATCAAACTACTGCTGCCTTTTAGTTTGTTCTTGGTTGGACAAAGACTATGGAAGAAAATCCAAAAAGAAAAGCAGGCTGAAATCGGAGTCAATAGCCTCAAAATTCCCCCCATATATATATATATATATATATATATATATATATATATATATATATATATATATATATATATATATATATATATATATATATATATATATATGGGGGGAATTTTGCCCGAAGGCTGTTTGCCCGAAAAATGTTAACATTATATATTACTAAATAATCATTCGTAATCAATTTAAATTTAAAATTTTGGTAAACAAAACACATCTACGCAAAAAGAAAGTGAAAAAATAATATTATATATTACCACGCAGACATTTTAAATTAATTTGTATTTGATATTTAAAAAGCGTAGAAACATACTTTCTCTTCCATATATGAAATTAGACAAAAATACAATTTTCATTCATCTCCGGATTTTAAAATGAGTTTTGCTTTCTTTATTAAGTAATCGCTTCAACACATTGTCTTAACAAGGTGCATTAAATGGAGATCAAACATATCTGACTACGTTTAGTTTTTAAATTCGCCACCTAGACCTCGCCTCATTCTTTTGTTAAATGATCACCACACAGCTCAAGCATGATAAGATAAGCAAACAAACGCGCCTCTGTTCAATGTTGCGAGACGCCGCGCCGCCTACACCGTGTCATAAGCGCTGTATAACCACCGCAACACGGTCTTGTTATAATTTATTTAATCTACAGTATTATCAGTTCTTTATTCAACAAATAAAGAACTTTGTTTTATCTCATATAGAAAATGCATCAGCAACCTCTTCTTCTTCTTCTTCGTTCTTAATTATTAGTGTTGAAGGGGATCGAGATTTATCTGCCAGTGGGGTTGAACTCGAGACTGTTCGAATTTATCAACCATGAGCTTTTTTTTTTGCCGACTCGACCACGCCTCCAACACAATTAAGCGTTACGTGTCAACTGGTTATGCGCCATTGAGGCCATTGACTCCGATTTCAGCCTGCTTTTCTTTTTGGATTTGCTTCCATAGCCTTTGTCCAACCAAGAACAAACTACAAGGCAGCAGTTGTTTAATTTTGGAGTTGTCTCTCCTAGAAGAGTGGCTGTCCCCAGCTAACGAGCCTCATCTGCCCGAGGGTTCGAACTCGAGACTTTTCGGTTTAGCAACCATGAGCTTTACCGACTCGACCACGCCGACCACTATCAGCAACCTGAAATCGACATTCTTTTAATTGGCAAAACTGGAAATGGTAAAAGTGAAACCGGAAATACTATTTTAGGAAAGAAAGCGTTCGAGAGCAAATCAAGTTCATCGTCGGTCACAAAAGAGGTCAAATACGAGTATGGGGAACACAGGAATCGCAAGATCAAGGTCGTTTATGGACCAGGTGTAGGTGATACAAAAATGGACAACAAGGAGGCAGTAGAGTTGGTGATAAAAGCCATGCAGTACGCTATTTCTGCCAACCCAAGAGGCTATCACGCTTTTCTGTTAGTTGTTAGATATGGAGGTCGGTTCACTGCTGAAGATAAAGACACGCTGGATTTCTTGAAGAAAATATTTGGCAATGATTTCATCAAAAACTTTTGTATTTTAGTCATGACATGCGGGGATGATTTTGAACACGAGAGAAAACAGAGGGGCATCAGTTTTCAGGATTGGTGTAAGGAGCAGCAAGGTGTTTTCCAAGATCTGCTGAGAGAATGCAACAACAGAATTGTCTTGTTTAATAACAGGGTCACAGATGAACAGGAGAAAACTAAACAGTTAGATGACCTGTTTCAAATGGTGGATGATCTGAAGTACCACGGCCACAGATACACGGATAAAACATTTAAAACAGCGGCGCAAGCAAGAGAACGTCTGATGATCGAAGCCAAGAAACCGATGATCAATGAAGAGACGATGAGAGAAACTAGCCTGGTCATTCACAAGCTGAAGATCATACTGAACACTGTTGAGCCAGAGGACAGGATAGCCCCGCTTGACGAACTGCTGGCCCGCGTTCTGGTTTTACACGAAAAACTAATGGAACAAGATAAAGGCACTTGAGCACTTCATGACCTAGCCAAGACGGTCGAAAACTTACAGAAAACTATTTCCGATGAGTGCGAATTTTCTCAGAGAATCACTGAGGAAAGGGAAAAAATGAAGCAACGAGAAGAAGAAAGAAAGAAGAATTTCGAAGAAGTGATGAAAAAACAGAAAATCGAATTCGAAGAGCGGCTGAAGGCAGAAACAATTGGAGATCAACGTCGTCGAGACGAGAATAAAATACAAGACTTGGAGAAACAGTTTAGAGAGGAAAAGGAAAAGCGAGACAAAGAATATCAAGATAAAATTGAAGAAGAGTTAAAGAGGCAAAAAGAGAAGGCAGACGAACTTGAACGGAAATATTTGGAGGCTAAAGAGAAGAACGACGAGGGTTTTTTCACCAAGGTCGTCAACTTCGTTTCGTGGCCTTTTAAGAAGGCACTCGGATATGAGCAGTTTTTATTATTTTAATTCATTTAACTAAATACTTTAATCCGCTTTTATGTATCGCATATACGCAGAAAGTTATTATCTAAAAGAATATTCAATATATTGCTGTTTTATAATGCACTTTTTATTCTACCATTTCTGTCATCCCATAAAGCTTCACAAATATTTGATCCTGTAATTTTTTAAGAAAAGTAATTATTCGCCAGATACTTAACAATATAAAATATTAACACATTTTAGAATGTAATTAAAGAAATCTAGTTTTTCTACCTTTTGTAAATAAATTGAAATATTCTATCTAATAATTTTCCTTAAAGGAAAATGGGTTAACTTATGTGATCAGAATATTACTTATTTTCCCACAACAGCATTTAAAAGCTTTGATCTGTCAGATGACTGCATACAATCTTTAGTAAAAACAATTTTTAAAATATATGTTATAATATTTTCAAGTGTAGAAAATACGGTTAAGCGGCACAGAAATTGAATATTTTTCTAACGTAATTATATCAGCTATAAAATTCATTAGCATTACGGTTTCACATCGTTTGTACTGACATATCAAAGTCTACCGTCTGGTTCAATATTCTATTTTTTTAATACCCAGATGTTACTTTTAGTTGTTTCATGTGAAATTTATTCAGATTATCATAATTATGTTTAGTTGTTTTAGATTGATTTTTACGCATATATCAATTTCCATTTATATCAGCTGAAATTATTTGTAACCAGTGGGTACTGTATGTGTTAATATTTAACTTGTAATGTTGTTGAATAAATTTGTAATGTAAACCTATATTTTGTAATCTAGAAGAAAGGATAATATTAAATCTAAACTAACTCCCAATGTTTATGTCGAGTTCTTAAATAAATACAAACCTAACACACATAGAGGGTACAAACACATTTAAGAAATTAATTAGTTATTAGCAGTAGCGTAGCGAGGGGGGGGGGGGGGCGGGGGGGGGGGACATATGTCCCCGGGCGCCGAGCTTAGGGGGCGCCAAAATGGGTTGGAAAAATAAATTGAAAAGTTGAGGGGGTGCAAATTGAAAGTTTGAGGGGGGGGGGGGGGTGCAAATCAAAGTCTCGAGGGGAGGGGGTGCAAATCGAAAGTTTGAGGGGATGGGTGCAAATCGAAAAGTTTGTCCCCGGGCGCCGGGAAGGGTCGCTACGCCTCTGGTTATTAGCAATAATGATGTCAAACTTTGCAGAGTGTGTATAAATAAATAGTTAACGTTTCTCATCTCATTTAAGGACGCCAAGTTTGTGTATTGTATGTAGTTTAACGCATTTAGAACGTCAGGTGTATAAAGTTCAATCGACAGCTAAGATACTAAACTGTGATATTTGAATAAATGAATCTTTAACCGAGGATTTTAGTTAGAGTGCTGCAGAAGAAATGACCTTAACAAAAAAAAAAATGTAGCATGCCCTACTTAAATGTTTTGTTATTCCACTTTTAGCAATGCGAACGATTCTATTATGTTCTAGTTTTGAATTAATTAAAATACTGTTGCCTAACTGTGTCAACTAATATAATTTCATTTGACAGAAATTCTGTTTTATCTTAGCATACATGTTATTTTTTAAATTTTGTCTGAGACTTTTTATAACTGAGATATGCTCCTATAAAATATGTTGGCTAAATATCGCGCCTTTCATGGTGTGCCTCATATTTCTTTTCAAAAGACACTACACATTGAAACCATTGTTTGATTTCGTAAACTACCATGATTTTGAAGTAAAAAAAGCATTTTAAAAATATCAAATAAAATTCTAAAAGTCCAATTTCAGAATTTTCTTCCTTCAGTTTTTAATTTAGTATTAGATTTTTTTCAAATATGTCAATAATATAGATCACGTTTCTTCATGGAACATATATGCTGTAAATTGTTTTCAAATTAAAGTTTCAAAATTCACATTTGACACACAAGAATACCAACAAACTGACAAAAATATTTTTTTTTTTTGTTATCAGTTATTTCTCATACTTTTGTTTTACATGTCTTGAAAACATTTTAATAAATAATTACTTAAGGTGCTTAAAACATACACACAAAAAATAATATATAAAAATATGTATATTTTATACGCACAATTCTTTTCAAAATATTAATATTTAATTTGGTCTGTATATTTTTTATCAAAAATTATAATGATTCATCAATATATAAAGACCTACGAATGGGAATCTTCGTCAGAAAATAGAACACGCGTTTGCAAATACATTTTTCATTTAGCAAAAATCGATACAAAGTAGTATACAAAATTAAAGTAATTTTATTAAATGGATCGTTTAAATTTTATCTATAACTTCCACAATTAATAACGTATTTTGTCTATTTGCACGTTTTCTCTTAGATTTAACAGTTTTGAGACGCTTACCTCAACAAAAACTCAAGTACACTGATAAATACCCACATACTACCATTTTTGTCAATACTTGTTAGTTTACTTCCTTGTTTAATATATATTTATAAACAAGTTTAAAAAACAAATTATTGATCAAACAATTATCAATAGGTAAATGCATTAAAAAATATAACATTGTAACAATGTATTACTAAGACAACATTCCAGCATTAACATACGGGTGTCGAAAAGGTAACGTTGGTGGTGTGTTTGTATCAGGTATTACAGAACTGGCATCCACCTGTAACGAATACCATTTTTTAAAACATAAAACAAAAATGAAAGGATTTGATTTGTATGCGTTATATATAAAAATATTAAAATATCATGTCGTACTCACTTGTTCATCAACTTCGATCTCGTCATCGAGTTCAATGTCTAGCGATAAAATATAAAACAATATTCAATACATAATTATTTAAATAATATTCAAATCAGAATTATTTAAAATATTAGGATTACGTTTAATTCAGAAGACAGTTGATTCGGTGAAAGTACTCGAAATTAAAAGATTACAATATCTCACCTTTCATATCTTTCTCTAGCTTGCACAATTCCATTGTTAACATTTCTTCTAATGACACGTAACCTTCGTGTATACTCCTGCGTTGGTGCGTTTCGTTTTCTAATAAAATTTATTTTTAACATTAATCCAGATGCAGTGACTTGCAGAGCAAAGGTAAATTGCATATATTAGCATTCACAAAACAATATAATTTTCGTTTAATTATTTATATGTTCCTACTTTACCTTCCTTATGTGTTACAAGTTCAAGCGTCTTTTTTAGACTTTCTATGGTAACTCTTAGCTTTCTCTCAATTACTTGCTGGTGACGTATCTCGCGGTCTTTTTGAGCTATTTAGAAGTTGTAAATACACATGTATATAGGGGCATTATGCATATATATATATATATATATATATATATATATATATATATATATATATATATATATATATATATATATATATATATATATATATATATATATTTATACTTATAATATATAAATGTATATATATACTTATAATTTATATATATATATATATATATCTAATATATAAAGCTCAGTTCTGTATGTAACGCATATGTTTGTCGTTGGTCTTGGATGGATTTAAGTGTTAGACAACCATCGTGCGCATTTGTCTAAATTTATGAGTTAAAAAATTACTATTGAAAGTGTTGGGAAATAATTTTCATTTTTCAAATTATAGTAATAATTGTCGGCATGCTAATTAAACACAAGTTTTTAAAAAATATCATCTTTTACACAAATTCTAATTATGTCTTTATGTAGTCCTATAGCACTTATTTCCCTTTGATAAATTAGGAAAACACAATTACTTCCCTTTATAAAACCATTGCATTCGTGGAAAATAATTTACTTTTTATTACTTTGTTTTGGTGTTGGGAAAAGAAATAATGACATAATTAGCGGGGATTGATCAAGTGCAAATGTTGTAGGTATTTTACGGATAAGCTTGGAGTATTAAAATTGTTCATTAAATTGAAACAGGCGCGTTCGTTTAAGTGAGTGCAAAAGACTGTGAATAAGTTGGGGTACTATAGTCGTTCATTAAGCTAAAACAGGTGATTACGCCCCGGGCGTTTATGTTCGCCTTAGTGTTTTCTTTGTGTTTAGGTGGGTTTGCGTGTGGTTGCGTTTTGATTTGGTTCGTTTTTGTTCTTTCTTTTTTCGTTTTTGTTTGTGTTTTTTTGTTTGGGTTTGTATTTGTGTTTTTGGTTGGTTTTGCGTTTGGATTTGGTTTGTTTTTCGTTGTTTTTTTTTTGTTGGTATTGGTGTTTGTGGTTGGGTTTGTTGTTAGGTTTTTGTTTTCGTTTGCTTTTTTGTTTGTTTTTTCTTTGTGTTTGTATTGGTGTTTGTGGTTGTGGTTGGGTTTGTTGTTAGGTTTTTGTTTTCGTTTGTATTTGTAATTGTGTTAGCGTTATGTTTGCGTTTTGTTGTTTTGGTTGGTTGTGGTTTGGGTGGGCAATGCCGGGTTTATGATGATTACTAAACACACAGGTAATGGTCTTTAACAGAAAGGTTTTTCACAGAAGCCAGAGCAGGGCCTGGCCGGGACAGCTAGTATATATATATATATATATATATATATATATATATATATATATATATATATATATATATATATATATATATATATATATATATATATATATATATATATATATATATATATATATATATATATATATATATATATATATATATATATATATATATATATATATATATATATAAATACAGTCGGCCTCTACGACCTCTGGTGAATCCGCACTCTTGCGTTAGATTACAATTACATAGATTTCTTTTTTAATTCGACTCCATTATTCATGAAAATTTCCTTTATTTGCGAAAGGAAATATGGCCCCTGATCAGTCTTAACACCCATAACATTTTCTCCCAACGAGCCACTTTTAACATTGTCGTATAAAGTACTGTTAGCATGCACACAATCGAATGGAGATTTTGACAGTTCACGCTGTTTAAACCGATTCCTGTGTCAAATAGATAGAAAACCCCATTTTGTAATCAGGTCTACATAATTGTGAGTGTGTCTGTATGTTAACCCGATAACATGACAACCGTTTCATTTAGGTGGATGTAAGATAGTTTTCACAGCTTTCTATTCAAATTTGTATGCTATTTTTTATGTAAACTTTATTTATTATACTCCCGTTTTATCAAAAAACCGATAACATCAGTTTCTTCAGTCAAGTTAACGAAACTTCACGTATAAGTTTTAATTCACATGCTAAAAGTTCAGTCACATTTTGAGTTACTTCCATGGACCCGAAGTGGTACTGTTTCCTTGTGGTCAAATAACTTCGGCATCGTTTTAGTGAAGTGGGTGGTGCAATTGTATAACCAAATATAAAATATTCAAATTAGATTTCTTTATTGAAACTCCGAAATGTCATATTTCTCAATTTTAGGTTCTAAACTAATGCTAACCTAAATACCGTTTTAATTAGATTGACGAAATGTTTACATATAAGTATCAAATTAAATCGTATACACAAGTTTTTATCAAGTTTTGATCTATTTTTGTAATAATTTCGATTTGATCGAATTGATTTAAAAAATAAATATATTATCCTAAACGTAGATTTTTATAGACTTTTGAGTGAGTTTCGGTACCGGAAATACAATATAAATACTATATTTCCGATATCTTATTTAAAAAATCCCAAAATTCGATAACTCAATAATATTTCGATAAAGAAAGAAATACTAAGAATATTTCATGCCTTCGTTTCCTTAAAACAACCAGGTTTTATTTTTAAAGTGTGCGTCGTAAGAGGAACCACCCCCTTCTCCCCCTCTACATTCCCATGCGTTAAAACGTTATAAGTATATAGAGTGAGTGAGATACACATTACGAATGAGAGAGATATTTTTTGACATACTTGTGATGTAAAACAAAAATTTATTTTAAAAGTTCAAATTAAAAACACACGGATAATTTAAAAACAAGTCGTTTTTATATTTTCTTTTAAAATGTATGTTATTTTTTGAGCTTAATTTATTTATGTCTTCAAGTCTGTTGCTGTTTAAAATCGAGGAAAATCTTTGTCACGGATAAAAAAAAATGATAGAATAACACTCAGTAAATAGAAAAAAAATGGTATTTTGAAATGTAAACGTAATATCTACTTATTATAGAGCTCATGGATTTGACCTCTTCCATCAATTTACTGCAGTCTGCAAATATGTCAACGATCTCCTCCTCTCTCTCAGCGCAGTACTGTTCTGTTACAAAAGAAAGTATATTTGATTGTTTTGTATTAAAATATGAAGCTTTATTTGAAACCACATTTTGAAAATCTGTATTATTTTTAAAAAATAGTATTAGGTCCAAAACATATTTAAAATACTTTAAACTACACCTTAAGCAAAGCAGCAGAACTTTAGAACACAGGATGTGTATTGTTTAAAAAAACGGATCTATTATCAAGGACAGCAGTTGTGAAGATCAGGTATAATACAAGTTAAAAATGGCTCACCCTTTAAAAGAAGTTGTTCCTTCAGTTCTTCGTTTTTTATACGCAATTTTTTCAACTCTCTTTCTTCAATGTCTTGCCTGCTTTCTGTACGCACAAAAAAAAAACAGAAAATTTTCCTTAAATCATACAAAAACCTTTACACATAGATTTGCGTTGTGTGTGATGAATGATGCATCAGTGTGAATAAGATTGTACCAGGGAGGAAAAACATGAACATGGCAAGACAAAACTAATTGAATATACGAATATACCGATTTATATATATATATATATATATATATATATATATATATATATATATATATATATATATGTGTGTGTATATATATATATATATATATATATATATATATATATATATATATATATATATATATATATATATATATATATATATATATATATTTATATATATATATATATCGATATATATTTATATATATCGGTATATATATATATGTATATATATATATATATATATATATATATATATATATATATATATATATATATATATATATATATAGATATATAGATATATAGATAGATATTTCATAATTTTTATTACTTAGCTCCGCATCTAACTTCTCGTAAAGTTGTCTTAATTCGGTAGCTTCCAATTTACACTGATCTGTAATGAAATACGAAAATAATTATATTGTACATAATACCCATTTTTGGCGTTAAATTATTCATTTATTCAATAAAATAAAGTGTAATGTAGTTTCCTATATATCCTTATTAAAAGTATGTTCATTAAATTTTATCCTAGCTTTAAATATAATTTTTTTAAATATATTGGAAACTATGAATATTTTTTTTTACCATTCTCAGCTTTCATATTCTCATAAAGTTCTTTTGCCTCCATAGCTTCGGCCTTACTTTCATCTGCAGTTTTGAAAATAATTGCATTAAGGACGATAGTTAAATGCTATTAAATAGTAGCATTTAATTATCATCTTTAATGTAATTATTTTTTAAAATTTCAATTGAACATTTTATTTTAATATTGCAAAATATTTTTGTTTTATGTGCAGAATTTTTAAAATTATTTCAAACAACACAAAACGTAACATATTTTTACTATTAATTAGTCATTTAGTTAAGATATTTTTCTATTTGTTCTACTGGTTTCTTTTTTACATATCTTCCTACAAGGATTCAATCACCCAAAGTTCTTTAAAAAAATTTTAAATATTTTAAATTAACAAAATAAATTAACTTACCGACTTGAATATTTAAAAGTGAACATTGTCTTGTCAGCTCGATTATTTGTTTTTTTAAGATATCTGTATATGATACAAAACTATTTATTACCAATTCTCTTATGAAAGTTGAATATTATAAAACAGCATAAGGTAACAAGTAATTTGAAGCTGAATTTTTTGTATATTGGTGAATTCTGCTTCATTACATTACTTACAAATGTGCACTATTAAAAACCTTATAATTATGATGATTAATACTGGGAAAAAATTCTTAAACAATCACTTTAAAATGAATAATGAATTTTACAGAAACATTATGTGTGAAACGCACCATACCTCTCTAAAAATATAATTGGTATACACTAGGTACACTCTAAAATTTGAAAATAAATTGTAATTAAGTAGCACTAAATCGGAGTTGAATGGGGAAAAGGAATATGTAAACAGCGAGTATGATAAAGAATACATTAGTGAAGTTATAGATTAATGATTAAGGTTAATAAACTAAGCTATGCACTATTGCATTTCTTTGGCGAAAGACTGTTTTGTCCTAATGCCATCTATTAGAATAATAAGAAAACTGATAAGGTGGTTGCTAATTCAATAATTAATAAATAAAATATCAATTTAGATTTTAATTATTATTTATCAAATGAAATTATGATATTTAAAAATATGTATTAAATAAGATCAAATTTACCATTTTCATCCAGTGTGGAAGGGTATTTCTTTCTAACTGAAACATGGAATATGTGTAATGGTGTTTATTTTATGGTAGCGACTACAAAAATATTTACCCTAATGCTTTCACGGATACACTAAAAATAAATGATCCATTGTAATAATTTGAGATATCAAAACTAACAAATTTATAAATACTAAATACGAATATTATTTTTTCAAAAATGTATGGTTTCAGTGATTAGCTATTAGTAAAAAATAGATTTAATGTTACCTTTAAAAGGGAAAGAAATTCCGCCCTTAAAAATAAAAAATGAAACATTGATGTATATATATACATATATATATATATATATATATATATATATATATATATATATATATATATATATATATATATATATATATATATATATATATTACAGACAAAAGTATATGTCCTAATTTGAATTTATTGCTATCAATTATACATTAAATTTACCTTTTTACATTTTTTCTTGGTGTAACGTTCCTCGGCTTTTTCTAAGAATAAAAGCAACGAGCAATTACTGATAATTAATCAATTAGTCCTGAGTCTAAAAAAAAATATATATATATATATGAAGAGTTTATTTTCAAAACGCGATAAGCGCCATTTTTGAAAAAAATGAGATAACGTGCCCATATTGTAGAGCTACTCAGTTACTATTAGGAAAACTTAATTTTAATCTTCACGGCCCAAAATTGTTATTTTATTTTTATTTTTGAAAAACAGTTTTAACATATTGTACAATGGCTTTGTGCAGGAGAAAAGTGCGATTTTCTCAAAACCAAAATTTTGGATATATTGCATTTTGAAAATAAACTCTTCATATATAGATGGAAACAAAAACCTTTGTGCTTAGTTAATGTCAAGAGATTTGAACTTACCTTTGATGACGTTCATCTGATCAGCCACATGAACCAGCTTGACACTGTCGTCTCTGAGAACGTCCTGTAGGACGTCAAACCACCTGTGGTATCGACTGATTCGGTCTAACAACGCCTCGGCTCCAGCACTGGTGCCATTGCTTCTTGTGACCGCCTTGATGTAGTCCTCAGATTAAAATAAAAACAAGTTAGGATCTATTTCTTATCATACGATAATTACAGCAAGATAGGTACTGAATGGACCACACTATCCCTTTATATATCGGCGTCACAGAAACACGTAAACTCTATTTTCTCTGACATCAACAGTCACGTTATGAAAATTAGTTTATATGAAGAGCCTATTGTAATAAGTTAAAAAAAAAACAATAGTTCAAATTACCTGATCGTTGGCTGTGATTATGTTGTACCTGAGTATCATAGGTAACACGTTCTCGGGTATGACGAAATGTACAAACGTTTCTAGCAGCATGTCCTTGAGTCGGCTATTGTAGCTTGGGTCACAGGTGGGGTCAGGTCTGGCCACTGGACACACAACAAATAGTTTAAGTACAGTTTAACTATACAACAGGTAGCATACAGGAGACACAACATATAGCATACAGGAGACACAACACATAACATACAGGAGACACAACACATAGCATACAGTTTGATTGTACAACACATAGCATACAGCAGAAACAATACATGGCATACAGGAGACACAACACATAGCATACAGGAGACACAACACATAGCATACAGTTTGATTGTACAACACATAGCATACAGCAGAAACTATACATGGCATACAGGAGACACAACACATAGCATACACGAGACACAACACATAGCATACAGTTTAATTATACAACATATAGCATACATTAGACACAACACATAGCATACAGGAGACACAACACATAGCATACACGAGACACAACACATAGCATACACGAGACACAACACATAGCATACAGTTTAAGTATATAACATATAGCATACATGAGACACAACACATAGCGTACAGGGGACACAACACATAGCATACATGAGACACATATATAGCATACACGAGACACAACACATAGCATACATGAGACACATATATAGCATACATTAGACACAACACATAGCATACAGGAGAGAGACGCAACACATACATTACAGGAGACACAACACATAGCATACCGTTTAATTATATGACACATAGCATACAGGAAATATCTTTTTTAATGTCGAAACATCTAATATATAAAAGTTTGACGTTTATTGACATGTGAATTGGCAATTTTCGTGTTGCATACACAACAGGTGAGATATAAGATGGTAGCTGTATTTAACTTCCTACATGCAGGTGTGTAGTCGATTACCGAAAGTTGAATTAGTGTTAATCCTATAAGCTAATCGCAGACAATCCCAATTCTTCGATTTTTTAATCTTACTTCGACATCTAATACATTAGCCTAAATTATGTAGAAAAAAAAATGTACTTGACTTACTTAATCCAATGCAAACTGTGCTGACATAATAGGCGTATCTATTCCAGTGCACAATCTACACATCTATGTGACCCACTTTTGATATCTAATCCAGAGCTGTGTAAGACTCATTCATGTGTGACCAAGTTATTTTTAGATTATTATCCTCTATTATATTTGCCAAAATTAAAATACTAAAAATGCATCTGTAAATACATGTATATATATATATATATATATATATATATATATATATATATATATATATATATATATATATATATATATATATATATAGCCTATATATATATATATATATATATATATATATATATATATATATATATATATATATATATATATATATATATAACATATGTATAACATATACATATATTAATCTGGTGTTTTTCATCTACAGTTAAACAAACATAAATCCTACCGAAGTAGACCAGCTCTGGCAGTAGATACCCTAGCAAAACTCAGCTGTGTAAAACTGTAATAAGTAAAATACCGAAACAACGTACCAAGCTTGTTTAACACAGTGTTCCGTTGTGTGGCTCCTTTGTGTACTCAAGTTATCTTTAGCGGAGGTTAAATGTATATATATATATATATATATATATATATATATATATATATATATATATATATATATATATATATATATATATATATATATATATATGTATATATATATATATACATGTACATATACATATATATATATAAATATACATATATATATATATATATATATATATATATATATATATATATATATATATATATATATATATATATATATATATATATATATATATATATATATATATATATATATACATATACATATATATATATATATGTAACAGGCTGTATTATTGTGTATTGTATTTAGAGTGAATCGTGTGACAGTGGAATACCTGGCCATCGGAAGTGATTGGGTGTGCGATTAAACAAAGTATTTTTCATGTTTTTTACGTATCTCCCACAAACTCTGGAATGAGAATGTCTATAACCTGGTTCAATGAGAGGATAGAGAGGTCACCTAGATGAACGCAAGAGGAAGCTGTGTGTTTTCACTGTTAGAACTAAAGATGTATACACAATTATTCCTGTGATTATTACATTGTGTATTCATGCAATTTGATTTTAAGTGCTATATCAAACGGTGGATGTTCGATAACTAAACGTCTTTGTGGATGTAACTATTGTAAATAAAGCAGTGAAATTACCCACGCAGTTTATAATCCGTCCTTTAAAGGAGAACCAACAAGAAAAACTTTGTGAGTCCATATCAATTAAGTCGATACACACTTGTATAAACCAAGAGGGACCCCGTGATTCGTTTACTGTCTAAAGAGACATAATGTCAGATATAATTGTATAGAAAAATAGTCATACCACAAATCAGAGGCTATTGATATAATAATTAGCATAAATGAGTTACTTTAGCAGCAAAGCCGAAGCATCGAATGATATGTTAATTTGCTATTTTCCAAAATGGTGTCATCCCAGTCCATTTCGTATGACGGTGTATTTTTTTCATTTTGTTTGATAATGTTACAATATGTATGTTTCCCCTTCTATCATTTTCCTAAATGGTGTCAATTATATTAATCCTCTTATTAATTCAAGGTGAAAAACTTTCATTTTCGTGGCAAAGTTTTAAAATGGTGTCATCCCCCTCCCCTTGTAGATTGACGTATAAGATTTTAAAATATTCAATAACATGTTTCTATTTATACACATTTAAAAGTAGCAAATTTATCTATAGAATAATATTATTACAGCTGGATGAAGCAAGTTTATGTCATCGTGTTATCCCCCCACCACCAACCCCTTTACGAAAGAGTCAATTCTTATCAATGGTGTCATCCGTTGCAGTTTGCACGCCCGCCCTCCCCTCTTGACGCCTTTATATATAGAGTAGAGGTGAGTAATCAGTACAATCAAATTATATTTCTAAGTTTACAATATATTTACCAAGGAAATTATTATGTACACATTTCTGGTACATTATTATCGTTTGTATAATAATAGCATCAAGTTTTAAGGATATGTTTTAAAACTAAGTACACATGTAGAAATATCTCCCCAAAATACTTTTTCTGTTATATAATGATTCCTCACATACATAATACATACAATCTAAATTCTACTAAAAATCAATTTTGTTTACATGTTTGAATATTTATTTGTTTGTCTGATTGGCTACTGGAGAAAATCTGCACTATGTGTAGAGCTATAAAATAGTAATTAGGTAGAGAACAATTTTTTGTTTTCAGATAGACTGTTAATCACAAATTTATTCAAATAAGTTAATTAATTTATTGATTTATTCATCGGTAAATTAACCATATTAATTATAAAAGTTTAGAAAAATGGCTTTGAGAGAATAGTGACGTCACATGATTTGTTTACTTTTTACATCAACAATGGCGGCCTCCATCGAAGAGTGTGTTCCCATTTCAATGTTTAACGCGTTCAAAATCTAATTTTCTGTTGGCTATAACTTTAACAATACGTCCGTTTGCTGTTTCTATTACGTTTCAACACTATTATCAATGTTTTAACAGTTCTTTTTATTTTATTATACAATACTAATACATTTCTCTAGATAAACAGATCAGCTGTCGAAGGAAGAAAAAGTTATGAATCTAAAATCTAGATCTAGATCTAGGTCACTAGACTTAACGTAAATTCTAGAGCTAGACTTAATGTAAATTCTACATCTAGAGTCTATTTCAGGCCTTAATTATTTTATATAAATCTTTGTTTAGCTTCAATGATCATCTAATTCAAGAATGCTTGGGATTTATTTATCTATCTAGGTTCTAGATCTAGATATAGTAGGATTACTCTCTAACTTGGAGGCATGGTCGGTTGCTAACAATAATATGGCGTAACTTCCGACCGTTTTTAGGCCAAATTAAATGGTTACATGAGCAAAATGGCGGTTTTTCAAGTTATATAAATATGCTATAGGTGGCCAGGGCTAGATATGCCAGAAAAGCATTTTAAAATTTGCTTTGGAGAATGAAGGCTAAATTTTAAAGTCGGCGTCATTAAAATTAATAGAACTTTTAAAAGGTCACCCGTGACGTCAGGATATGAAGGAATAGTGTGGTCAGACCATTGCTCAGCCGAAATCGGTGTTTTTAAAAGATAAAAAACGTCTTTTTGAATGTGGGGTCTGGTTATTTTGTGATGATACGTGACAGACGTGATGTTTTTGTTAATGGATGACCCCCGAAACCCACAGTTATCCAAGGGATGACGGGTAAGTCTAGTATAAATTAAAATACAGGATATAGTTAATGTGTAAGCTCTTAAATAAAATAAATACATATTTAATAGCATGTAACGTCTATTTTGCTTTCAAATTGTAATATCTTTTTTAAAATCTGAAAATCTTAAATAGTAACTTGTTAAAGGTACGAATATTTAATTTTAAAAGCACAAACATTTAGATAATCAGAATAACACAACTTAGATGTTATATTTTACATGGATATTTTAATTTTCACTTCAAAATTCCCAACGCTAGTAAATCTCCAGCATCAAACAATCAGTCACCATAACAGCACATAGAACATAAACTGAAGGTGCAAACTAATGTCTTTCAATTTAAAAGAACTTTTCAAGTATTAACATATGAGTGTGATAAGTGTGATAAGTGTGCTCTTACAGCTGGTGTAGGATCATCAACCGCGGCACTCGCTGTCGACTAAAATGAAAAGGTTGTTAGTATCAGTAATCACACATTTTTAATGTTTTAAATCCTCCACCCCCCTAAAAAAACATGTGAAATGTGTTCATTGCAATATATATATATATATATATATATATATATATATATATATATATATATATATATATATATATATATATATATATATATATATATATATATATATATATATATAAAAGTATAATAATATTTCTGTACATAAACGTATCGACCCATTCCGTCGCGAACTATCAACTTTGCGCCCACTCTCTCCTAATGTGTATTGTTATTGTCATTGGCACTTGCCAAAAAGCGATCCCCACTCTATTTAGGAAAGATCGGGGTACTTTTTCCAATCACTGTCTTGTAATGTTTGTTATGTTAAGTTCAGACGTTTGATGTATGTTAGCCCTAAAACTGATTAATGGTTTATTTTCAATAGCTTCGACTGTGTATGATTTAGTAATGCAGCTCAAAATGGGTTTTTAAATTTATTTTTCTACCCGTTCTGCGCCCCCCCCCCCCACCTAAGACCGGCGTTCTACGCGGCCGCCTCACCCGCCCTCAACTAGCTACGCCTCTGTTTCTGTCTGTGTGTCTTTTATGCATTTCTACACCTTTCACCCTATTGCAATAAAAATTGGCTGATGAAAATACTCATGCAAACATTTCTGCGAAAAAAAAAATTATTTTTAAGGTACGGCAACCCGGAAGTATTATTTTGGTGCCTGGGCCTCCCCATTAAGCACTATGGCGCAACATTCGCTTTTATAATGTTATACACTATGAAAATCATGAGCTACTATAATTTTATTCAATCAAATCAAGCGTATATACCGGCGTTCTGCCAGTCTGGCGACATGCAGCGCAAGTGCTCACCAGGAAACACTGTGGCGCGTACATTCGTTTTAAGACTACCCTACAAACAAGGATACGGTGGAGCCTGACATTCGATGATTAAACTAAACCCGGCGCCACTGCGATAATATAACCGGTGGCTCAAGAGAGCGTTCTGCAACACCCCTAACACCTGGGCAGTTAATGAGGTGTGCTCTAACTCACTACTGAGGACAGCGATTAAAGTACACTTTAAACCCGAGCCCCAGCAAGTATTCGCCAGGAAATGTAGCTTAGGAGCTTCCCCCCCCCCCCCCACAACAACCCCCTTCACGCGATATCCTACGAAACTTACCCTACATTTCGGTCTTCGGCTGTATGGCTATTCAGCCGACTTTTGAGCATGCATTTTTCTCTCCCGCTTAGTCTGTATCCCTCACTTAACTCACCGAAAATCATATTTACATAAATGAATAAATATATCTATCTAAGTTTGTGCGTGTGTCCTTCATCAAATTTTACTTACTTGCGTGTCATCCTCTATTTCATCATCGAGCTTTATATCTATAAAAATAAATTTTTGTTTACAAAATTTTAATTAACGTTTTTTTTTTATCTACTTTCATTTTTAAATGGTAAAGTGATTTAGTGTAAACAATTTACCTTTCAAATCCTTCTCTAACTTGCACAATTCCATTAACAGCATTTCCTCTAATGACAAGTAACCTTCTTGTGTATTGTCGCTTACGGACGTTTCGTTTTCTAAAAGCATTTTAAACATGTCGAGCAAACTTTCTATAATTCACCATCTTTTGGTAACTAGACGATAATATCTACTCTTGTTTTTTTTTCTTATATGCTATTGAGTTTTCTAACTATAAAAACGTTTTTTTTTACCTGCGCGATACCTTATTATTTCAAGCCTTGTTTGTAAGCTTTTTATTGTAATTTTCAGTTTGTTTTCCAATTTTTGCTGCCGACGTATCTCCTTTTCACTAAAGGCTAATATATATATATATATATATATATATATATATATATATATATATATATATATATATATATATATATGTGTGTGTGTGTGTGTGTGTGTGTATACTGATATATATATATATATATATATATATATATATATATATATGTATGTAATCATATATATATTTTCATATATATATATATGTTTATAAATACATACATTCATAAGAACATAGAGTTTCAAAATAAAAATATTAATTAGATGATATTCAGATTTGATGTAAATAAAGCAGTAACTACCTAATTCAGATTTTATGGATTGAAGTTCCTCCGTTAAAGCATTGCAGTCAACATACAATTTGATGATCTCATTCTCTCGTTCGGCGCAGTACCGCTCTGTTAAACGAGGTCACCGTTTAGAAACTCTAGTACACATTTTGACTACTGCTATTTTTTCTATTATTTTTTTTTCTTTATAGTTTTTTAATAAGTTAATATATATTTTAAGAAAATAAAATGTTGATCATTCCATATTCTATTAGTTTTGGTTTAACCAAAGAGTATGTTAAAAATTATTTTTACTGATAGATCTATAACATGTTGAATTCAATAAACAACACGAACCTTTTGAGTGTAATTCCTTATTCAGATCCTCATTGATCTCACGAAGAAATTGTAACTGTTTCTCGTAATTATCGTTTTCGATTTCTGTTTAAAAAAATGAGTCGATTTGTGTCAAACTTGCGCGTGGATCAAGACTTAATAACAATGCAATCTGACATCAAATTTCCCTAAATACGTTGCTTAATAATTTTTCAAATTTAAAGTAATGAAAATGTTTTTCTATTAATTTTTTTTTCTATAATTTTTTTAGTATGTTAATATAATTTTTAAGAAGATAAAATTTTGATCATTCCATAAACTATTTGTTTTTGTTTTACCAAAGAGTATGTTAAAAATTATTTTTACAGATAGATCTAGTTTTCAGAATCTATAACATGTTGAATTCAATAAGCAACACGAACCTTTTGAGCGTAATTCCTTATTCAGATCATCATTGATCTCACGAAGACATTTTAACTGTTTCTCGTAATTATCGTTTTCGATTTCTGTTTAAAAAAATGAGTCGATTTGTGTCAAACTTGGCACGTGGATCAAGACTTAATAACAATGCAATCTGACATCAAATTTCCCTCAATACGTTGCTAAATATGTTTTGAATAAAGTAATTAAAATGTTGTATATATAGTACTATTACCGCACCATTATACTTACATGTTTTGTGTTAATTTGGTGCGAAATATTTGTAATTCATGCAATTTTATACTTTGTAATTTTTAACAATTTTAAAGTATCGTAAACCAAATTAATAAAAAAGTTTAATAACAAGCTTTTATGTAAAGCACTAAAAGGAGAAAATAAATGATTTTATATAAATATAAAAATGAAGTTCAATTTATCTTATTAAAAATAAAAATTAAATTCTAGTGAAGGTATTCAGTACACAAAAAATGATCCAAGCTTTTCATTATAGCTACATAAATAGCATTTCATTATTTTTACTTTCTAGATTATACGAAGTATAGAGAAAGTCTTGTAATCGTGCAAAAAAAAAATCGAGATTTTTACAAATCTCGACGTTTTACACCCCACTTATACGGAAAAACATAATTTTGCAATCTTGTCCGTATGTCTGTGTGTCTGTGTGTGTGTGTCTGTCTGTCTGTGTGTAAACACGATTACTTGAGTACCGTTACAGCTAGGTTGATGAAATTTCATATATAAGTATTATATCAAAATCGTAGATCCGTATCAACTTTTGAGCGATTTCCGATAACCGGAAGTGGTACTTTTTCTACTTTGAATTTTTCAAAAGCCTATAACTTGAGTACTAATTCAGATAGGTAAATGAAATTTCACGTGTAAGTAAAAGATCTAATTCTCTACCTTCTATAAAATTTTGAGTAATTTCCGTTGACCGGAAGTAGTAATTTACGCTACTTCCGATTTCTCAAAAAACTAATGTAAATTTTTAAAGTACTAATAATATTGCGCACTATTATGCACTTTTTAATTTGGCGTTCACTTGGTGTGCAATTCTTTTGTCTACGAGATTTTATTCTATTTTTAAAACTTTAAGTATTTAAAATGGATTAAAAATCATGTCTATAGCCTGAGTTCCCATCCCCTGATATTTTATATAAGAATATTCGAGAAAGTTTTGGGGAGATCACTCCCGGTTTATTTAAAAAATATTATCTTCTTTTTAGCGTATTTTTACATAAAAGTTTGTTAATAAAAACACTTTACATTGAAAAAACATTTAATGCACGGATATATTGTAAAATACCCCAAAAAATATTAAATAATTACAAATTTGTTTATTTTAAAAGTTGAATGTATACGTATATTAATGTTTAAATTGTATATATATATATATATATATATATATATATATATATATATATATATATATATATATATAATGTGTTTTTTGTAATACGAGTATTACCTAACTCAAGTTCCTTTGTTTTGCAAACTTCTCTTGCTTCAACGGCATCAGATTTGGCTTCATCTGCAATTGAGTTGTAAAGAAAGTAACTTAAACAAATTGTAACAAATTGTAACTTAATGAAATATAATCATACTTTTTACATGTAATGAAATAGTTATAAATACATATTATTTACATTTGTGTAAGAACGTTTATGTGTAAGAACATTTATGAATTACATAGCTTTATGTGCAAATTCTCTATCGTTAAATTATGTATCGATTATGTTATTTCAATTACAAAATATGATAAAACAAATTAGCCTACCAACTTGAATTGTAAGAAGTGAACATTGTTTTGTCAACTCAACTATCTGCTTTTTAAAATTATCTGTGTAATAATAACAAAAAACATGGAGTAATTACTTTGTTCATTTTTTGCAGTTTTTTTTTGCTCGAATATATTATATATTTATTAAAAAACCTAATTGGCCTTTATTTTGACTTAATAGAACAAGTGTAATTGACTTTTTAAAGGTAAACTAGACTACGAGTATAAATAACTCCACGTTGGACGATTTTTATCGTTTCCCTCCCTTCCCTACTGTCAATTATCGTCACAAAAAAAAAGACGTTTTTTATCTTTTAAAAACACCGATTTCGGCTGAGCATGGGTCTGACCACACTATCCCTTCATGTGCTGACGTCACAGATGAACTCTACGCCTTCTCAACTGTGTTTCACCTACCCAGTGTCTCGCTAAGTCTCAAACAACATGTTTTCCTCGTTTAAAAAAAATTACCGAGCATGGCTCTAACCACACTATCCCATCATATGCAGAGGACACAGAAACAGGTGATCTCTACTTCACCTGCCCTGTTTCCCGCCAAGTCCCGATAAGCAACTTTATCATTCACATCTATAAAAAAAATTGAAAAAAAAAATACTAACATTGACATGATGTGTCTCGAACCCGTGCCACACGCACGGTAAATATTACACTAACATCTCAGTAGCCTTTTTAAAAGAAGTCATTATAAGTCTCTGTATTTTGACAAGCTTTTATCTAACTCAATTCCGCTGTTTGTCGTCAGTCTAGATCGAAACGCCCGAGCGAGATTTTTTTTTCATAAAACAAAACGTTTTAATAACAAGCTTTTATGTAATAATGCTCAAAAAAGTAGAAAATAAATTATACACAATTATTTAAATAACTATAAAGAAAAGCGTGGGTCACTGTAGTATCTATTGGATACCTTTACTAATTTTTTGGAAGAGACCCACGCTTTTCTTGATAGTTATTTAAATAGTAGTGTTTGATTTATTATCTATTTTTAGTGCACTATTACAGAAAAGCTTTTATTAAAACGTTTTTTTTGAATTTTTTTCTGTAAAACTATTTTTGGTTTGGCCTTAACATCAAGTGACGTTACTAAGCCGAAGAAAGTTTTTACGTTTTTTAGAAAACAATGTGTTTGTTCTCAACTTATATAATTAAAGATGTATTTCTATCAATGAATATATAAATAAATGAATAAAATTATTTGAATAAATTGGTGATTAACAGTTTGGTCAAAAGGAATATTGTTCTCTACCTAAATACGATTTTACAGCTATACACACAGTGTAAATCTCTCCTGTAACCAAACAGACAAACAAATAAAAAAACAATATTACAAAAAAAAATTATTTAAACATGTAGACAGACTTGAGTTTTTGTATTATACTAGACTTACCCGTCATCCCTTGGATGACTGTGGGTTTCGGGGGTCATCCATAAATGACATCACGTCTGTCACGTATCATCATTAAATAACCAGACCCCACATTCAAACAGAGTTTTTTTTTTAATCTTTTAAAAACACCGATTTCGGCTGAGCATGGGTCTGACCACACTATCCCTTTATATACTCACGTCACAGGTGACCTTTTAAAAGTTCTATTAATTTTAATGACACCGACTTTAAAATTTAGCCTTCATTCTCCAAAGCAAATTTTAAAATGCTTTTCTGGTATATCTAGCCCTGGCCACCTATAGCGTATTTATATAACTTGAAAACCGGCCATTTTGCTCGTGATAACCATTTAATTTGGCCTACAATGGTAAGAAGTCATGCGTCCGGTACGGACGCCATATTGTTGTTAGCAGCCGACCACGCCTCCTAATTAGCGAGTAATCCTACTATATCTAGATCTAGAACCGAGATAGATAAATAAATCCCATGCATTCTGGAATTAAATGATCATTGAAGCTAAACAAAGATTTATATAAAATAATTAAGGCCTGAAATAGATTCTAGATGTAGAATTTACATCAAATCTAGATCTAGAATTTACGTTAAGTCTAGTGACCTAGATCTATATCTAGACCTAGATTCTAGATTCATAACTTTTTCTTCCTTCGACAGCTGATCTGTAGATCTAGAGAAATGTATTAGTATTGTATAATAAAATAAAAAGAACTGTTAAAACATTGATAATAGTGTTGAAACGTAATAAAAACAGCAAACGGACGTATTGTTAAAGTTATAGCCAACAGAAAATTAGCTTTAGAACGCGTTAAACATTAGAAAGGGAACACACTCTTCGATGGAGGCCGCCATTGTTGATGTAAAAAGTAAACAAATCATGTGACGTCACTATTCACTCAAAGTAAATCCATTTTCTAAACTTTTATGATTAATGTGGTTAATCTACCAATAAATAAATCGATGAATTAATTAACTTATTTTTAAAAAATTGTGATTAACAGTCTGTCTGAAAACAAAAATTGTTCTCGACCTAATTACTATTTTACAGCTCTACACATAGTGCAGATTCTCTCCAGTAGCCAATCAGACAAACAAATAAATATTCAAACATGTAAACAAATTTGAGTTTTATTAGTATTTAGATAGATATATATATATATAAATTTATATTATTTGCATCTCAAAGTCAATTTATGATACAAAATTGTATTAATTGTATTATGGAATACACAATTCTTGCGGAAAAATTCCCTATGGTCAAACCAACTGTGGAAGTCATAATGTATGATCATGTATCATAATTATATATAAATTTACCTTTATCAATCATTACTTCATCCTCTGAAGATGAATGTTTCTTTTTAACTGTGAAATAGCCAAAACCCCGAAACATTTAAAATAACATAGGCTAACAATACCTATTAGAAAAATTAAAAACCAAATTATATACACTATTAGTCAGCACAACACCATGTTAAATGCATACTGATTAAGAGACTTAAATTATTCCGTTAAAAACCCGGCTATTCAATGGTCATTACATTGTTTTTTAACTAATTACTTTTGGCCAAGACAATTGTTTACATTTCATAGAATACTTTTTGATATGTAGATCTATAGATCTAAATCAAATTCGAATGAAATATATCATTTCTTAATATTCTAAAATTCAAAGATGGCGCCATTAGTTTTGTTTACTTTCCGTAGTTTAAACATATGGCATGTGACGTCTTGTGACAACAATAAACACTTTTCCGGTTTCATAATTAAAAATGTGTTTCTACATTCGATTATTGCTTTATTTTTATTTTCCTTCTTTAAATAAAAATTTAATTTATGCATTTAAAACATCTTGCATATTATTTTCAAATAAAGTCAGTATCTTTAAGTTCTCCAAATATCACTGAACATTCTATTCACATAGCCACAAAAATGTTGCAGACAGAGAGAGAGAGAGAGAGAGAGAGAGAGAGAGACGTGCGCACATGGTCTTTTATATATTAGGATTACGTCAAACGTTATTCTATCCACGTCAGTGGTACTACTTGACTCAGCGGTAAAACTGCACCAGGCGCATCCGCCCTGGTGATTGAGTGACCCGAAGCCTGCTTTTCTTTTTAGATTTGCTTCCTCAACTTTTGTCCAACCAATAAAAAACTACGAAGCAGCAGATGTTTGATTTTAGAAATGTTTCTCCTAGAAGAGTGGCTGTATCCCAGCTAACGAGCCTCATCTGCCGGAAGTTTCGAACTCGAGACGTATTGGTTTAGCAGTCATTAGCTTTACCACGCCAAGTATATATATATATATATATATATATATATATATATATATATATATATATATATTTATTTATTTATTTATTTATATATATACACTTGTGTACGAGCTGACCCACGCCATTTGCATTTAGTTGTTTTATTTTCCACTTTTCAGTAATTCATAATTTGTGAATTCAACACTACCAATGCTGTGATTGAAAATATTTTGCTATAAAATACTATCAGTAGCTCGTGAAGGAAGACTATCCTCCCCTCCCAGCCCCATTGAGAGCAGCCGTCCGTGGCGACAGTTTTCAAATGACTTTGAAAAGATCAAGCAGAATTTGTTTTTATCTCCCCTTAGATTCAAATAGTTTAAAAACTAAATTATCTGCCCCTAATAGCCGCTGATATTGGGACCCAGTTGGATGATTGTAAATATTCGGCGTCAACCACAGATTGGCAGGGTGGGGGTGGTAGCGATATGGTCTGTTTAGCATGTCTGGAAAGCGAGGGAGTGGGCGGGGCGGCTTGCGAATACGTGGTGTCCCGCATAGTCCCTCCGTGAATGAATTATATATAGAGATACAAGGCGTTTATGGTAATTACTAATACGTCGGTAATATAGATTACAATTAAAAAAATACCTATACACTGATTGTTTTGATGTATAAAAATCATTAAACAATGTTCACAACAATATAGGACGTCAAATATATTTATACGACAAATTTAAACATTTATAATATGTATACATTGATCTTTTAAAATAAACAAATTTGTAAATATTAATATAAATGATATTTTTTAAATGTGTTATTCTTACCTTTAAAAGGGAAAGCAAGCTTTACCTGAAAAACAAACAAATACTATCTATATACATATAAAGAAACATAATATATAAACAAATGTTAAAACACACACACACGTACTTACACACACTTACACACACACACACGAATATATATATATATATATATATATATATATATATATATATATATATATATATATATATATATATATATATATATATATACATATATATATATATATATATATATATATTATGTTTCTTTAACTTCATGTTGCTAAAGTCAACCATTTGAATATGATGATAATGCAACTAGTATTAAATGTGCACCTGCTCTTGACCTTAGAGAAAGCGAATATATCTACATGCACATTAATTTATAAAGTGTAAAAAAAAATACCTTTCTACTTTTTCTATTGGAGAATTTTTCATATGTCTTCTCTAAAAAGGGAATATTTACATGTATACATATATTTATAAATTATATATATATATATATATATATATATATATATATATATATATATATATATATATTTATATATATATTTATATATATATATATGTGTGTGTGTGTGTTTGTATATACATATATAGTTTTAATGCTTTAAATGTAGGTCAAATCAGTTCCATTTAGTCCGGCTCTACACACACGGAGGAATGTTAGTCATATAAACCAATGGGTTGAAGCAGAGGCGTAGCGAGGGGGGGGGGGGCGGAGGATGCGGAACGCACCGGGTGACACCATTTAGGGGGGGTGACACCAAGGCAAAATATAGTAAAACATATAGAGAAAAACTTGAAAAATCGAAAATCGAAAGTTTGAGGGGGGCGGGGTGAAAATCGAAAATTTTAAAGTTTGTCCCTGTGAAGGGTCGCTGGGGGGGGGGGGTGACACCATTAAATGCCGCACCGGGTGAAACCCGACATCACTATTTCACTGATATAGATATATTTTTCTAAAATTATATATATATATATATATATATATATATATATATATATATATATATATATATATATATATATATATATCTTTAGACATATGAAAGTACACATATCTTAGAAAATTCTGAAATTTCATATTGTTATAAACGTCTTTAAATATCATTAATATTATTCGATTAATTGTATGACATCTGTATTATTGAATAAAATATCTCCTTAACAAATATATTTGTTAAAAAAAACACTGTGATGCAAAGAATTACCACCTACACTTCATTTAATTTATGAACTAAATTCAAACGCTGTTTTTTTTTTCTTAAACGTAGATCTGAGGAATTCTGATCCTAAAATAATAACTAAATAGAAACATTAACTAATTCTCAAATTTTCTTTTAAATTTTTTGTTTTGTTTTCACATACCTTTAATGGCATTAAGCTGATCAGCCACATGAACTAACCGCACAGCATCGTCTCTAAGAACTTCTTGAAAGACTTCAAACCAACCTTGGTATCGACTAATTCGGTCTAATAAAACATCAGCGCCTTCACTATTGCCATTGCTTTTGGTCACTGCTTTAATGTGCTCCTCAAGTTAAAAATTTAAAAAAACAATGGATTATTAGAGATTCAATATATTCTTATAAAACAATAGCTTCGTTTATATACAAATATAAATTGAAATTTTAAAAAATCTACACAGTTTTATAAGAAGAGAATAGCGTTTGTTTTTAATACCTAAAACTTTGTACAAATAACTGGAAATGTGCATTTTGGACTACTGAATTAGATTAAGCTGAGTTATGATATTTTTGCTAATCTACCATTAATTATGATGTAGCTATGTTTATTTGGAATCTAAGGACGTGTAAGATTTAAATTAAATACGAAATTGATACAAAAAGCCGATATGAGCTGCGGTACATTTTTTAGTGAATTTGTAAATTAAGTAAGGTTTGGGATGCCAATTTCAGTGCAATTGGGATTCCGAAATGACAACTACATTTGTGAAAAAAAAACCTTAAAACCTTTAGTCCCACGTATTAAATTTAACGTAGTGATAATGTAATTCAAACTACTTAATATTTTCTGATAATTTGAAAATAGAAATTTTCGTCTAAATTTTTCATTAGATGCATTTTCAAACTACTTCTAAAGGTTACTTGACTCAAATAGTAACAATTCCTAAACATAGCTATTTAACAGAAACAACGGGAATATACTATTTACTAATTGCATACCTGTGCTTCGCCACGGTGAATCTTTTCTAAATAAACCAACTTGGGAACAGAAAAAAAACCAAACACCAATACAAAGACAAAAGTTAACACAAACGCAAATACAAAAAAACACATAAAAAACAAAAGAAAACACAAACCCAAACGCAACAAGAAACATAAACAGAAACTCAAACACAACACGCAACACGCAAACGCAAATGCAAACACAAACGCATACGCAAACACAAAAGAAAATACAAATACAAATACAAACAAACACAAACACAAACGCAAACGCTTCATCAAATCGCTTTATCAAACAAACGGCCGTGTATTTAAAAAATGTACTCACGATCGTCGGCGCATATTTTTTTTTACTAAAATAGCAATACTTAGCGTGGGTTAAATTTCTATTTAAATTACCTCCATTAGCATAAGTATCAAACATTTTAGTTAATTTCTTTTATATGACACTACTGTTGTTAAAACGTTTCCATGTTTTTCAAAGAATTCTAAGTGAAAATATTATTTGACATCCGTTTTTATATTTTAGCAATGTGTGTGTATTGAATATTTTCTTCATCCTCTTTCGTTGACGTATCAAAAGAGTAAAAGTTGCCTACTATCAAAATATTAAAGTCGTTATATAAATAGACCGTCCTTCATTACTTATAAAAAAAACTATGCGATGCAAGTACATGCACGGCATGTGGTGTTTAATTTGTGGTTCAAAAATAATTTTAGAATCTATAGCGATGATAGAAGGAAGGAAGGACAGACACACTACCTGGAATCTTATATTATAGATTCCACATACATTTGCAATTCTGTCAAAAGTACTGATTGTTAAATACAAAAT